AAGGGGATAAGACGAGTAGAAAATGGAGTGCGCATGTACGTTTTTTTTTGCTATTCTTTGGCATCTCAATGATTTGCAGCGTGGGATAAAGGGTTTGTCCATGTATAGAAAAAAAAGGGCACCAACTGTTTTCCATTGCCAGATGCCAGTGCTCGTACTCTCCCTCGCTCGGTGCATTGCACCGTCACATGCGCACACCCACACACGTTCCCTATTGGTGGATTAGATAGCAGGATTGTATATAAACAGAGCCGATGCTTGGCGATTTGTTTTTGCTCCGGAGGAAGTGGGAGTGCCGTTTTATACCTCTTGTCTTAATGCCTCCGTTTGACTTTTGTTTTGTTTACTGGCTTAGACGGGAAACCCCATTTAATTGGTCGGCAGCGGAGTAGTGTAGATTATCAGCACGACTTAATTACACCCTCCCGGAGGGGAAAATGCAGAGATGGGAGAGGAGAAGAGGACGAATGACAGGCAGAGTACTCCTAATTTAGAACAATGCTAAATTTGTGCAAATACCATTGTCACGATCAGCTCCTTTGAAGCAAGAGAACAAGAGGAGGTGAACAGGCGAAACTTTTGGTGCTACCGCAGGAAATGAAACCTTTTGCTAATGGAAAACACCAGAGACATTTTTCTCCCTACTCAAGCAAGCAGTGAACACTTCCCCTAAGCTAGGCATACGAAGCAGGGCCGGAGATTCCCCTCAACAACTGCTCTGCGTCTGGTTTTGGACCGGGGGACGGCACGATGCCCCTAAGCCCCTTGCCACCCACCCGATCTCCTCAATCCACGGTCCAGATCGAGCTGGAGACACCGATGGTGAAATGCACGTGTTCGTCGAGTACACACCCCACAGAGATAATGCCGATGAGACGTAGTAGTACAGACAAGACAGAGGGTACTGTACGCATCAGCCGGATCGCAGGACTTGATCACGACTTTAATTACTCTCAGATCCCTTCGCTTCTGACTTGTGACTTGTGAGCCTTTTGTTACTGCTATACACCAAACTCCGTGTCAGATTAACCGAGGCTTCACCTGCCAGTGGGCCCCGTGGCACAGAAACGGACAACCTTCCGTGCCCAGCGCCCCCTCGGGCCCACAGAAACCGCCCACGGTCCACCCCGAGCGAGCTACCTACACTCTCGTCCCTGCTCGTCGTCGTGCTCTCACAGTCTCACTTGCTCACACTCACTCGGTCCTCCCCGCCTCCCGCTATATGCAGCGTCGCACCGGCAGCGGCGGCACGATTGGCATGCGGTGGTGGCTGGCATAGGACTAGGAGGGTGTGGCTTGGTAGGGGAGGGGGAGCAGCGCCGGGCGTGAGCGGAGATGGCCGGGCGTGAACGGAGCGCGCGCGCAATGTCGTCGTCGCCGCCTCCCCCGCCGCTGCTGACCAACGAGCTGTCGCGCAGGACGCCGGTGCTGGGGCTGCGCCTCTGGGTGCTCGTCGGCCTCGCGGTCGGCGCCGCCTTCCTGCTCCTCCTCGCGCTCATCTCGGTCCACCTCGCCGTGGCGGCGCGGCGGCGCCGTCCCAAGGGGAAGACGGCGGCCGCGGCGCCGGCGCCGCTGTCGCCCGCGACCATCCCGCCGGTGTCCAAGGAGATCCAGGAGGTGGCCGTCCACGTGGGCTCCCTCCGCCACTACCTCGAGATGGGCGCCGCGTACCTCAAGGACGGCAGCAAGGACGGCGGCGACTCGCTGTGCGGCAGCGTGGCGCACGGGTCGCAGCGCGTGCACATCGAGGCCGGCAAGGACCGGCGCATGGTGGCGGCGGACGCGGAGGCCGGGTCCGTGCAGTCCGACCCGGCGTCGTCCGTGGGGGTGGGGCCCGAGGTGTCGCACCTCGGGTGGGGCCACTGGTACACGCTCCGGGAGCTGGACGAGGCCACGGCCGGCTTCGCCCCCGACCGCGTCGTCGGCGAGGGCGGCTACGGCATCGTCTACCTCGGCGTCTTTGCCGACGGCCGCCAGGTCGCCGTCAAGAATCTCCTCAACAACAGGTGCGTGCGCACAAAGCAGAGCAGAGCGCGCGTCCCGTTTTATTCCCGTCCGCATGTGCGTGGCTAGCTCCGTGACAAGTTTGCCTTTGTGTTTTTGGCGCATGTCGCTGACCGGCGCAGGGGGCAGGCGGAGAGGGAGTTCACGGTGGAGGTGGAGGCGATCGGCCGCGTCCGCCACAAGAACCTCGTCCGGCTGCTGGGCTACTGCGTCGAGGGAGCGCACCGGTACGGTACCCAACTCAACTGAGAGCCTCCTCACCACATGCACGCATCGTCTTTGTGTTGTGCCTACGTATTCCTCTCAATCTCACCTACCGCGCAGCACTTGACACTTGCCACTTGCCACTTGCCACTTGCTTGTGGTCTCAGGATCCTGGTGTACGAGTACGTCGACAATGGCAACCTGGAGCAGTGGCTTCACGGCGACGTCGGGCCCGTCAGCCCGCTCTCCTGGGACGCCCGGATGGACATCGTGCTCGGGACAGCCAAAGGGTGGGTGAACTACCAATCTGGTTTGATTGCCGGAGTCCGGCGGCGTTGATCGGTTGGTTAACGGCGAGCCTGAGTACTGCGATCTGGTTTGGTTTCAGGATCACGTACCTGCACGAGGGGCTGGAGCCCAAGGTGGTGCACAGGGACATCAAGTCCAGCAACATACTGCTGGACAAGCGGTGGAACTCCAAGGTCTCCGACTTCGGCCTCGCCAAGCTCCTCGGCTCCGACAGCAACTACGTCACCACCAGAGTCATGGGAACATTTGGGTACTACCCTTCTTCTTCTCAGCACCTGAAGTGCATCCATCGGTGTAGTAGTACATTGCAAAATGCGAGTTGTGTCTGAATTTGAATTATGTCCCTCTGCTCTTTTTTGGCAGCTACGTGGCGCCGGAGTACGCGAGCACCGGCATGCTGAACGAGAGGAGCGACGTGTACAGCTTCGGGGTGCTCATCATGGAGATCATCTCCGGCCGATGCCCGGTCGACTACGCTAGGCCTCCCACGGAGGTAGGCTAGCTCTGCAAGTGTCTGTTTTGGCCTGTCATGCAGACAGAATCAGCTCAACCATAGCGTGTGTGGGCGCATCTCTCTTCAGGTGAATCTGGTGGAGTGGCTGAAGAAGATGGTGAGCAACAGGGACTACGAGGCCGTTCTGGACCCGAAACTGCCGGAGAAGCCGACCTCCAAGGCCCTGAAGAAGGCGCTCCTGGTGGCGCTGAGGTGCGTGGATCCCGACTCGCAGAAGCGGCCCAAGATGGGGCATGCCATCCACATGCTCGAGGTCGACGACTTCCCCTACCGAGAAGTGAGCCTCGCTGCTTCTTTTACCTCTTTATCATTATTAAGTCAATCTCATTGCTCATTTGCTCATACCAACGTATTTTTTTGGATAACCAAGTCAATTCCACGTTACATACTAGTATGTCCGAATCCACGCAATTGCCGGGCTACCGTCGTAAAAAATGCGTGCCAGTTATACTAATCGGTGTGTAAATGCCTGATGATTTTTAAAGTGGACACCTCTGCATCTGAGTCCGGAGAAACGGACAGGGCAGGTGCATCAGGGTTTAGAATAGCAGAGTGCTGGCCCTGATTACTAGTTTCATGTCTGACCTTGGACCAAGCCTTCATTGCAGATTCCTCGAGATTAGTTAAGTTATCACCATGTTACCTGACTGTGCTCTCTGAACTGCCGTTGGGGATGTTGATTACTCTGTCTGTCATCTCGAAAAAGAACTCTTGATGACCTCGAGATCACCATGTCGCCATGGTTATTTTTATCAGATTTAAATTATAACTGGGGCCCTGAACTAGTCTTTGGTGACTTGATCCGATGCTGTTTATGTAATGCAGATTCCTCGAGTATGTTTCTGCTATCGTACTGTCATTCTGCATCTCATCCGTAGATTCAGAGACTTACGCCTGAAACTCGACTTCTGACCACTTAAATTGATGGGTTTTTTTGTCCGTGTGATCACAGGATCGTCGGACTCTGCGGCCGTGCCAAGGCAGTCCCCTGGAGAAATCAAGGAAGCCGGTGACAGAATCAGGCCATAGCAGCTGCTACGATGGCAACAGCAGCACCGCTGCCACTACGCCGTCCAGGTTCCAGTAGGGCTAGTTGGCTCGCACGTCCTAGGGTTTTTGCTCCGTTGTCAATCACAATGCCTGTTGCGTTCAGCTCTAGGCAGCTTGGAAACGCAGTGTTGTAACTTGTTTTTGTCGGTGCCGTTCTTAATCTGTTTCTGCCGCCTCGTAGTTTTGTGGAAGCCCTGTTTGATTTGTCGAGGGTGTAGGTCAGCTGTGTCCTTGGTGAAAAGTTTCCCCTGGTTTGTCTGCTCTTTGTAGGTGTTGCATGCACACACCCCGTCTCTGTGATTGACGTAGCTTGCCGGACTGTTGTATAGTGAATTTTACTCTTGTGTCAGAATGTCCCTCGCTCGTATCTTGTCTACAAAACTGTGAGTTCTAGTTTTCTTCTTAACTTAATGCTTGGAAGCATGATCCGATATTTTCTTTTGAACACAGTACAGTCGAAATCTCTCACAGATATTACAACAACTGCTGTTGGTCCTGTGCATGACGGATTGACCTTCTTCTTGAATAAAACATCCTATACTTACTTTTTTTTTCGACAAAGGGTGAATTTTATTAACTCAAAATGGAGCATCAAGTGAATACAAACATAATGAGCACACACCCGGCCTCTGCATAACTAGGATGCACACAACCATCAATAACACGCACACACACAAAAAACTCACCGACAAATAGCGAAGTCATAAGACCAAAGCTATGCCTAAGCTAGGAAAAAGAAGAAACCCCAAAACGACCAAATCTTCCATCAACAAACTATAACAGAGACCATATCCACACCAACTATCTCATGACACCACAAGGACAACGAGTTTCTTCAACAACAACGCCTTCTGGAAGGGAGCGGTGCTCGAGCACCGCCGTTACCGGATCCAACCACCAAAGGCCGGAGTCTAGGTTTTCACCCTGAAGAACCAATCTGAGCATATCCGAGCAACGTCTTCAACAAGATAACGACGCAAAAACATCGCCATTGCCAGGTATAGCCAACTCGGGTCAGACCTAGGTTTTCACCCCGGAGCTCGAGACCGGGTACTTGAGAAGTACCATCATCGGAGTCAATTGCATGTTGTCGCCACCACTTTTCCACAATCCTAACAGCTGCATGCGCTGGGTTAGAAACTCCGCCGCTGCCACTGCACAACCATATCCTTTGCGTCAAGCCGTCAATTATAGACTGCATCTCACCTCTGAAGGCAACCACTGGATCTGAAGAGGGTAACCCTCACAAAGAACTCTCAATGGTCATCGCAATCAACAAGAAGGTCGCTGCAGTTGGCCGAAGTGGTTACCATGACCAACACTGATTCCAAAGCTCCTCACCGTAGACTGCAACCTTACTGGAGAGATCCCTTCCAAGACCTGTCGGCACAGGTGACCAGATCTAGAGCACGAAGGACTGATCTGTTCGCTGGTCAAGAACCAGAGCACCGCAGCCCGCGGGCTGTAGCACCCACGGCCCCAGCCTATCTCCACTGAAGCGGTCAATACCAAGCGCCATCCCTGCAGCAGCCGACCATGATCAGGGGACTAGCCCGTCGGATCTGCGACCTGAAAGGGCAAAATAAGCGCCCATGCACGACGCCCCGGACCGCTGTAGCCTTTTTGGCCTTCCCCGGTGCTGCACTGCCATGCTAAAGCTCGCAGCCGAGTAAAAGAGCACACCATTGCCAACCTTGGATTAGAGAGCGGACACCGATGGTTGCAGTCCGCAGCCCTTCACGGACCGAGACGCGCCGGCCAAATCCGCCGCTAGGAGGAGCCTACATCACGGATCAGGACGAACCGCATCAGGGGATCTGACACGTGCGGCGCAGATCAGCAATGGTGCCTGACAAGGCAATGGAGAGATGGGGAGGGAAGGGCAAGGGGGTAAGGGACGGGAACGCCCGCCGCCGCCGTCAGCCCTAACGGCCTCCACCGGCGGCGGCGGATGGGTTGGAGCGGCGGTGGAGGCGCTTTCTGCTGGCGGCGGGGTGGCCTCCGGAGTCGCTCGACCGAGCAACCCGGGAGGCAGTTTCGGTATGTTCTGCTTCCCCGGACCAGTACAACTGTAGTAAATATTCTTGTGTCACATTGTTTCACGCTCATATCTTGGTCTGCAATAGCTTTCTAAAGATGCTCCCAAATTGATACGAGCCGTCAAAATTGACGTGACTAGTGGCTAATATATTAGCCGTCAAATTTTTTGATCCTGCCAAATGTTGGCATCAAACCAATTAGCCTCCAACATCACCGACTTGACAAGGTATCATGTATGTGCTGGATTTCTTAAAATAAGGTGTATTTGGAGGGTGAATGATGTGAAATAGTGTCAATATTTGGAGAGACAACAAGCTGTTCCTTGGAGCATGTAATACGTTCAGGTTTGAGGGGTTGAGGAATCGCACACACATAAGGGTGTGGCCGGTCTGTTTATATATATCAAGGGGCTGTTACAATTACACGATATGTAAGGAAAGTCTAATCCTAGTCGTATACAATACGGAGTCTAACACCCTCCTTCAATCTTAACCGGTGTCAAGAAGGTTGAGATTGCGCCGACAGACTTCAAACAAGGGAAACGGCAGTGGCTTGGTAAAGACGTCAGCAAGTTGATCCTTAGAAGAGATGAACTTGATTTGTAATAGCTTCTGTGCAACACGCTCCCTCACAAAATGGAAATCGACTTCAATATGCTTCGTCCGTGCATGGAAGACAGGATTAGATGAGAGATAAGTGGCTCCAATATTGTCACACCAGAGAACCGGAGGCATGTTTTGAGAAACACCCAACTCTGGCAGCAAGGACTGTACCAAATAAGTAGCATTAACTACAGCCTTGTACTCAGCTTCTGTACTACTTCGAGAGACAGTGGGTTGCTTCCGAGCATTCCAGGCGATCAAATTCGAACCAAAAAACACAACATATCCCCCCGTGGATCGCCTATCATCAGGGCTTCCTGTCCAGTCTGCATCAGAGAAAGCAGACAATAGCATAGAAGATGCAGGCCGAAGATGAAGACCAAATGATGCAGTGAGATGAACACAACGCAGTATGCGTTTAACTGTAGACCAGTGGGTATCACGAGGTGATGATACTGACAGACACGGTTAACCGCAAAGGAAATATCTGGTCGAGTTATGGTGAGGTATTGCAATCCACCAACAATACTGCGATACTCAGTAGCGTCATCGGCACCAAGGAGCACACCAGCATCAGCAGAAAGCTTTTCAGTCACAAACATGGGTGTAGAGACAGGCTTACACTTTAACATCCCAGCACGTCGAAGGAGATCCAGGGAATATTTTTTCTGAGTGAGAGAGAGACCATCAGCAGTATGTGTAACCTCGAGACCTAAAAAATAGTGAAGCGGACCAAGATCCTTCACAGCAAAGTCATGTCGAAGATTTACTATCAGTCGGTCGGCGGCAGCAGACGAAGAACTGATGAGAATAATATCATCGACATAAACCAATAGATACATAGTGACCTCAGGGCGCTGGAGAAGAAATAAAGACGTGTCTGGAGTAGATGGAACAAAACCATGTGATCGAAGAGCAGATCCAAGACGAGCATGCCAGGCACGGGGAGCCTGTTTGAGACCATAAATTGCCTTGACCAACCGACAAAGATGATGAGGCCTATCAGTATCAATAAACCCAGGGGGTTGCCGCATGTAAACCTCTTCCTCTAAGACACCATGAAGAAATGCATTCTGAACATCCAATTGACGAAGAGACCAACCACGAGTAACTGCCAATGAAAGAAGAAGACGTATGGTGGTAGGCTTGATAACAGGACTGAAAGTGTCTTCGTAATCAAGACCATAGCGTTGCTTAAAACCTTTGGCAACCCGACGAGCCTTATAGTGTTCAACCGATCCATCAGCATGTTTCTTGACCTTAAAAACCCATTTAGAGTCAATCACATTTACTCCTGAGATAGGAGGCACAAGTGTCCAGGTCTTATTTTGCTGCAGTGCAAAAAATTCTTGTTCCATGCAGCTCTCCAGTGAGGTATTCCCATTGCTGTCTGAAAATGTGTCGGCTCAGACGTCGGATCAGAAATTTTGTGCGCCATACATGCAGCTAGCCATGCAACAGTACCATCTATTTGTTGCTTTGGTTGAAAATATCACTCGGGCTACGTGTGTGCACACGTCGAGGAGCAACCACAGGCTGTGGCGGAACCGGAGATGGAGTAGGAGCAGGCGATCCCGAGCCAGGAGACTCCAACACCGGCGAGGTCGCATCTAGGCCAGCATCTGCATGGCATACCGACGAGGGCGCAACACAAGTTGTGGACGAGGAAAGCCCGAGGGTGCGTGACACATCTGAGTCCAGGGTGGGCTGTCGGTGTCAAAACCGGAGGATCTCGGGTAGGGGGTCCCGAACTGTGCGTCTAAGGCTAATGGTAACAGGAGACTGGGGACACGATGTTTTACCCAGGTTCAGGCCCTCTCGATGGAGGTAATACCCTACTTCCTGCTTGATTGATCTTGATGATATGAGTATTACAAGAGTTGATCTACCATGAGATCGTAGAGGCTAAACCCTAGAAGCTAGCCTATGGTATGATTGTTGTTCTTGTCCTACGGACTAAACCCTCCGATTTATATAGACACTGGAGGGGGCTAGGGTTACATAGAGTCGGTTACAGAGAAGGAGATCTATCATCCGAATCACCAAGCTTGCCTTCCATGCAAAGGAGAGTCCCATCCGGACACGGGACGAAGTCTTCAATCTTGTATCTTCATAGTCCAACAGTCCGGCCAAAGTACATAGTCCGGCTGTCCGGATACCCCCTTATCCAGGAATCCCTCAGTAGCCCCTGAACCAGGCTTCAATGACGATGAGTCTGGCGCGCAGATTGTCTTCAACATTGCAAGGCGGGTTCCATCTCCGAATACTCCAAGATAAATTCCGAACACAAGGATCATGTCCGGCTCTGCAAGACAAATTTCACATACCACCGTAGAGAGAACAATAATCCACGAATCCAATCTGCTGACAACTCTTTGTAGCGTGACATCACGCCACGGCCCGGCTTTTATTCAAACTATTTTTTATAACCAGCTACCGCACACATTGCGAGGCGGTTTCTTTGGCACGTCTTGTCAAAGCAGAGATCATGTCCCTATTATCGCGGGATCCTCATCAATACGGGTATGGGTAACCCCACCACGCCTGTTGGCGTGACTCTGTGTTTTTAGGTAAGTCCCAAACGTTCACGTTGGGGACACTTGATATCCTCCCCCTTTATAGAGGGGTCAAGGCCTATCCCTTTCTTACCACGCTTACGCTTTCCTGCCTCTCGAGTTCCAACACCCGAAGCTCAAGCTTAGGTACTTCGGATCTTCAATCATGTCCGGATCCAACCTTCAAGGTCGGTGGATGGCCTCCACTATCACAGTGGAGGACATTGCAAAGCTCAGGGAGGCCAGATATTTGACCATCGATGTCAAGCACCGGCTTCCCACCCCTGAGCAGATCATCCCCACTCCCAAACCCAATGAGAGTGTCATATTCGTTTCTCACTTCCTCCGAGGCTTGGGCTTGACTCTTGATCCCTTCGTGAGAGGGCTCATGTTCTACTACGGACTAGATTTTCACGATCTAGCTCCGGATTCCATTCTTCACATCTCATCGTTTATCGTCGTGTGCGAAGCCTTCCTCCACATCACCCCACACTTCAGCCTATGGCTCAAGACCTTCAATGTGAAGCCGAATGTGATTGAGGGGCGACACGCGGAGTGCGGGGGCGCATAAGCAGAAATGCCGATGTTCCATGGCCAGAAGGTGCCTTCTCGGAGGTGTCAGATCTGTGGCAACTGAGGTGGTTCTACGTCACAGCTCCCCAAGGCACAACGTGGGCGGCTGCCCCTGCCTTCCGCTTGGGTCCTCCGCCTCAACTGGCGTCGTGGACCAATGTGGGACTGGACCGGGGGCCTGCTAATGACGTACCGACATTGCAGAGCCATATTCGGGAGCTTCTTGAGAGGGATATCGATCTTGTCAGAATCAATCAGGTAATGCTGGTTCGGCGGATCCTGCCGTGCAAGCCTCGGTCTCTCCGGATGTGGGAGTTCAATCCGGAAGGTCCGTGAACCATTCAACACTTCTTCGGCATGACGCTCGAAGGAATGTATAAGTTATTCTTCGGACCACAAGTAAGGTATCCGGACACCACCGAGGATGCGGG